TGCACGCCATCAGGTCCAACACAATGTGGAAGCTGCCAAGGCTCAGAGTATGTATCCTCTAAAGCAACAGCTAGAGCAGTATGTATCTTGGCCCCTTTTAGCCATGGCTGGAGCTGAAGCAGCAGGATTGCAGGTCATCAAGTACAGAGGATGCACAGAGAAGCAGGTCCCAGGGCCCCACCCAGAAAACCATTTTCCATCCTTGGTCTCAGGGCTCATGATAAAAGGGGCTGCCATGAAGATCGCTAAAATGTCCTGGAGAGATTTTCCCATTGTCTTGGCAATTAATATTCAGCTCCTCGTTACTTATGTAAATTTCTGCAGCTGGCATGAATTTCTTCCTAGAAAATCAGTTTTTCTTTTCTACTGAATGGTCAGGCTACAAATTTTTCAACCTTTTATACTATGCTTTTCTTTTAAACATAAGTTCCAAATTTCAAATAATGTCTTTGTTAACACATATAACTGTACATTTTCAGGAAAATACAGGCCACCTCTTGAATGCTTTACAGCTTAGAATTTCTTCTGCCAGATATCCTAAATCATCTCTCTCAAGTTCAAAGTTCCACAGACCTCTAGGACAGGGTAAAAATGCCACCAGTCTCTTTACTAAAGAATAGTAAGAGTGACCTTTGCTCCAGCTTCCAATAAGTTCCTCATCTCCATCTGAGACCACCTCAGCCTGGACTTCATTGTTCAGATCATTGTTAACATTTTGGTCAAAATCATTCAACAAGTATCTAGGAAGTGCCAAACTTTCCCATATCTTTCTGAGCCCTCCAAATTGTTTCAACCTCTGCCTATTACCCAGTTCCACAGTCACTTCCACATTTTTAGGTTATCTTTATAGCAGTGTATCACTCTCTATACCAATTATCAGTATTAGTCTGTTTTCACATTGCTATAAAGATACTACCTGAGACTGGATAATTTATTTTTTTTAAAAAAGAGGTTTAGTTGACTCCCAGTTTAGTATGGCTGGAGAGGCCTCAGGAAACTTACCATCAAGGTGGAAAGAGAAAGAAAAGCAAGTATCTTCTTCACAAGGTGGCAAGAGAAACAGCGAGCAACAGGAAGTTCCACACTTTAAAACCATCAGCTTTCATGGGAACTCACTCACTACCACCAGACCAGCATGGGGGCAACTGCTCACCTCCCACTAGGTCTCATCCTTGACACATGGGGATTATAGTGCAAGATGAGATTTGGGTGGGGACACACAGACAAGCCATATCACCTATGAAGAGTAGAATGAAAGTTCTTCAAAAATTAAAAATAGAACTATCATATACTTTAAATCTTATATAGTCAGCACAAAAGTCACTCTGATTGAGAATATTTTGCTTTATTATGATAAAAATAAATTTTCTTCTAATTTACTTGTGCTTATGTGGAAGTTGTTATGTTTCCCAAAGTGAAACAGTTGAATAAATGCTGAAAACTAAACAGGTAAACAAACTACATTAACATGTAGTCTGAATACTGTTAAGTATCCACAGACAGGAGAAAATACAAGCTAAAATCTGTACTCTTCTAAATACCAAAATATTTGACACTTGGTTGGTAATAGGCCTACTTTTTCAAATATTTGCATTCTTAATAATTACAACAAATAGCTATTTAGAAGTAAAATATGCTGTTTGTGTTGTATGAGGGGAAGAGATGAAGGACACAATATTGATCTACTATATTCCAATCATTTAAAAAATAATCACTGAGTTCTTAAGCCTCCACTTTCTCACTTTTAAACTGGAGATAAACAGTTGAACTTTTTGCTCTTCTCACATATTTATTTGTTAAAAAATGTGAAGAAATTGGATAACATCAGAAAGTCATTTTGCAACCTTCAAGCCTTCGTATATAAAGTATCATTCCTTTTAAATATTTGTTGTAGTTAGGCCAAATATGATTAAATTTTAATATAAAAGTAAATTTGATTATGTACAACTCAACTACATAAAACATTTTATTTTCTTTAAAATTTGATTATTGCTCTAATATTCACCAAAGATATAGACATATTACCTTGTATTTGATTATTTAAATTTTTTATTTACACAGAAAGGAAACACTAACTCAGTTTGACCTCCCTCCGCCCAATCTCTTTAATGATAAAATTATTCTTGCAAAGTACAACTGAGATGATTATTTGTATAACTATATAGTTATACAAATATATAAAACTATACTTTCAAAGTACAACTGACATGAGTATTTGTATAACTATATATATGTCATACAAACATTTGTATTTGAATTTATATTTGTATAAATAATATAGTCATACAAATATATATATATATACATTTGTATAACTATATATACAAGTATAGATATATTTGTATGACTATATATAGTCATACAAATATATATATTTATAAATATATAAATATAGTTATACAAATATATAAATATATAAATATTTGTATAACTATATATAGTCATACAAATATATCTATACTTGTATATGTAGTTATACAAATGTATATATATATTTGTATGACTATTATTTATACAAATATAAATATTTATATAACTATGCAATATTTGTATAACATTTATATATATAACATGCATAACTATATAACTATTTATATTTGTATGACATCATTTTTTGTATAACATATATAGTAAAACAATATATATATACATATATACATATATATGTTATACATTATACATGAATAATAGGACACTTTGTAAAAGGCAAGAATACTAAATGGTGTCTGCCATATAAGAGAATGTACTTTAAAGGGAAGGAGATCTTTAGACTGTAGGAGATGATAGATGATTGAGTATGTGTTGGAGTGGAGTTTTATGGTGAGTAAAAGAAGCAAATGAAGACAAAGAGAATGGAGACGCACAAGAAAATGTTGAACTGAGAATAAAGGCTGATTTGGTTTAGTGTCAGGTTTAAAAACTGGTAAAATTCTCAAATTTAGAAATCATAAGAAAAATATAACATTTGAAATGTTCTCTCCAGATTTAAAAATAAGAAAGTAAAAAAATTACCTACAAATTCTTAAAATCAATAAATTTTATTACAACGTCACATGTAAAACAATGCCATCTTATTTTGTTTCACCATGGAATAAGGTTTAACTTTCTGTCTGTATGTAATCTATTCCCCAAGTGCATGAAAACACTAGATTACTTACCACTTTTCTTGCTGAGGAATGTATCTGCTTCTTAAATATGGTGCTCGCTGTTTTATACTTGCAATTTTAGCATTAGGAAATGTTAATAACAAGAGTAATGTGTTATGTGTGAATTAGTTACCTTCTTAAACTGACCTTTATTTTGCATATTCATTGCTATGAAATCTTTCAAAGAATGAATATGCTCTTTCTCTGAATTGAGATGCACTATTTATAATGGAATGGAGAGAGATGTATACACAAATCTAGGTAGCAACTGTGAGTTACACTTACATGTGGAATATTCTCAATATGTTGTTGAAACTGGAAGACTATTGAGGCTTTTCATATATTAAAAATTGTTTCTATTCCAGAGTCATCCTTGAAAGGGAATGTCTTAAAATGAGAAAGCCTCAGCCAGGCACTAACCACCTCTCCCCACCCCACCCCTCCCACACCTCCTGCTTTTTTGTGCATATGCATGTTTCAGTTAAATCACTGACAAGGAAACTACCAGCCTTATGTTTCTACTAATGTTGGGAACAGCACATAGAATTTGTAATGTTAAGCATAACAGCTGATCATAGTATAGAGTAGTAGAAAAGGACAAAAAATGATGCCATTAACCATGCAAATGTGTGCCACATCTGTACTAAATTGTCATTTGCATGAATACAGCTAAGGCAAGCAGGATTACTGTCATTAGAGCAATGCTGTTTGCACTGCTATATTGTACTTAAGGTTGTGTGGGTGTTTCCATTTATAATGCCCCCCTTCTTTTTAGGGGTTTGTAATTTGGTTGTAATAATCTGCTTTTGGATGAAACATTACTACAAGTTAACAGAGGGGGAGCAATTTTTAATTACAAAATTGGATTCAAATTGGTACAGTCATATTTTATCTGAAGAAAAGCATTTAAGAATACTAAAAAAAAAAAATGGTGTTCCCTTCTAAAATACAATTCTTTAGAATAGACTGTGTAAGGATGAGTTTTTTTAAGGCTTATGACAGAAAACTGTATTTTCACATTTTCTCTTTGTTTATTTTGCATAATCTCCCACCAGGAGACCAATACTATATAATTTGTCAATTTTACTTCTTGACAAACTTCTGAAAAATATTATTTTAAGTGGACATTTTATTAATGGTTTTATCATCCAAGCTCTTAATATACTACATATTGTATATTAATATAGGGTCTCTTTAGAATCTAACAAGACACAAAGTAGTGCATACATATTAAAAAAAAACTTTAAGTTTTGCCTACTTATAGAATAACAAGTTACTTGAAAGTTTGGCAAGCAGTTTAAGTGCTATCATAGGATTTTTTAAAATAATCAAAGATGTAATTATAACTCACAATTATCAGTTAGAATAACTCGTGTGTAGACTTTTTACATTCTGAAAAGAAGGGCTTAGAAATACATGTATGCATATACATGTGTCTATTAGTCTGTGTTCTTTGTTATATAGTAATGGCTAAAAGCAGAACTGAAGTTAAGCCTCACTCATTGAATAGAATTATTGATGATTAAATTAATTAAGATTGTTTCTATAATACTCTATGGAAAAGATTGTCATTTGTTAGTTTTAGTAATTCCCATGGCTGTTGACAATTGTCATTTTGTAGATACACAACGTATGTGCACCACAAACCCACACACGTTTGTAGATGTTTCAGTCAGGATCCTGTCGGAAAATAGATGACACCATCAGATAGAAAAATTGGAACAGAGTTTACTAAAGGGACTAATTATAATGGCAGGAGTGGGATAGAGAAATGCTGCAAGAAACAGTGCAGCCTCTTGGGAATAGTAACAGAGAGGCTTAAATAGCCTACCTCAGTCTGAAGGGCAAGAGGAAGAGGCAGTTATTAGAACATGGAGAGAGAGCTTGGGAGGGGCCTTCCTGACAGGAGCCAGGATCTTTGGTCAAAAGAAACTATCCCAAGGTAATCTCTCAGAGAAGGCACAGGGGCAGTAGACCCATGAGCATTCATTTCTCACTGTTGCAATCTTCTTGTAATGTTCAATTTTGGCCATTGGAGGGACAAACAGAAGGCAGGCGGCACAGTAAGTCACTAGAAGTTCTGAATTTAAATGGCTTTAAATCCTAAAAATAGCTATTTAATAGCATCCGATAGCTATTAAAGATAGCTTTTTGCAATATTAACCAAAGCCCTCAATCCAGTGGCAGCATGTGAATATTTTGGCATATTTTTAAAGTTATTTTTGCTAACATTCATGTTTATGCAATCTACTGGTTTTTGAACTTTCAATGAATTCATCAATACATCAATTTATAAATAACTTACGTAGAGTCTATTATGTAGCAAACAGGCAATCTTGCAAAATAGAGTTGGATATGACATGATCTATGCCATTGAGGGGAGCAAAATGTGATGGAGCAATAGCAACTATAAACAAATGACTATAATTCCAGTATATGTGTTGTTCTTAGCAGTACAAATTGACTGCTATCAAGAGATGAGTAGTAAGGGATCTATTCATAACAGAGGCAAAGAAAGACTTATGGAGTATGTCTTAATTGGTCTCGGCCTTAAAAGGTAGCTAGATTTCATAGGCAAAGGGTAGGCTTTCCTGCCTGAGGGAAACCGCAGTCTGAGTCTGAAAGGACACAATAGTTAAGGCATGTTTCACATGGGAGCAGTGTTCATTAAAAACAACAACAACAACAATAAAACAAGCTGATATCTTCTAGGAGAAAACTTTAAATGTTAATGCATGAAATTTGTACTGAATATGAAAGAGCAAGTTTCAGAATAAGGAAGTAACACAATCACAGCAACCCCCTAGAAAGATTGTTCTGGCTTATAAAATTAGTTTGGACTACTTTGGAGAATCATTGTGTGTAGGACAATTGGAAAGGAAATAATATCAGTAAACTGATATTCACTGAGATGACAAGGATTGAAATAAAATGGAAACAGTGTATTGCAAAAAGGAGGGCTATAAGAGAGATTTCACTATGTGTTCTCTGACATCTAAGAATTTCAATACCATATTTAAATGTGAAATTGCTGCCTCAGATCAACTTAAAAGAAAAAAAGAAATATTTAGATTATCAGATGTATCACTGACTAGTATCATGTTCTCCTGAATATAAGTTTCTTTTCAATATGCTTTTACAAAGCCAAGGGAGGCTGATCGCTTTCTCCTCTGCCTCCCTGCGGTTCCAACAAGTATCATTATCTCTAATCCCAGCCTTGCTCATCCTGCTGAGCATCCAATAGCTATTAAAGATAGCTTTTTGCAGTATTAACTGAAGCCCTCAATCCAGCAGCAGCATGTGGATGTTTGGGCATATTTTAAACTACATTTTTTGAATGGCTTATTAGAATTTATTGAAGATATTTTGCGTCTAAAAAACTTACTCATCTTACCTGATTTGGAACACCCTGCTAGAAAGTTGTATGCTGTTCTTATTTGGCGACTTATACTGATGAAGAAAATTTGCTTACTACATTTGTAGGTCAATTGGTTTTGTGGAATTATAATTTATTAATTTCATAATCATAACAACAGCCAAGTAATATTTAAAATGTATCAGCCAAGTAAAACACTAATACATTACTAAAAATAATAAAACACATGATCCCTTTTTAAAGCTCACATAAACATGAATTTCTTAGTGTAACTATTAAGGCTAAAATCCTTTTCCCTTTCAATTTTTTCCTAGCATGTATGAATGCTACTTGTTACATTATGAGAACACTATTCCTGGATTGGGAAGTTAAGACTGTGAGTTTTGTCCCGACTTTGAAAGAGTTGGAAGTATCCCTATGAGTAAGTTACTCTGAGTGTCTTTGGTTCTTTATGGCCAACTCTGTTAAAGAGTTGAACTTGATATTCAATCTCCTTTGCAAATAATTAACATAATGTCTTATTTCAATTTCAAATAATATCCATACATTGACAGTGTGACAGATTTGCAAAAATAAAATGTTAATAATATATATTATAAGATTATAAGGTGGATTTTGGAAATCACTATGTGGAGATCAAGGTTTTGTCTTCATGATACCAGTGAAGCAAAATATTATACACACACATACACATATACATATGTGCACCCACTTACTTGCTCACACATACATATACAAATCAGTCAGTAAGCATATTTCCAAACAGCTGGATATTTTACATCATGGAGACCCAAACTTCCAGATGTTTTCACTAAGGCTTAGTGTTAGGCATATTTTTAATACAACCATTGAGAATCTCAGTATAATTAACCATGAAGAAAAGTACATGTATGGTTTCTCTATGTGTGTGTGTGTGTGTGTGTGTGTGCGCGCGCATGCGTGCTTGCTCGCGTGTGGGTGTGAGCGGGCATGCACACATGCTCACGCACATATGAGAGAAGGAGAGAGAGAGAGGAGGAGGTAAGGAAAGAAGGAAAAGGCCACTTTCCTACACCATTAAAGATTGCACAGTACACCTGCAACAACTTGCTGAAAAAATGTGATAAATTCTTCATTTCTCCATGTTATTGTCAGCTCAACTTTGGTCCCAGACTAAAAGGATGATTTATCATTTCTTTAACTTCACACCAACAAAGCATATTTATTTCAAGCTTATTTCTGTCTATAATTTAGTGAGTATGTTTTCACAGTGTCTTGTGACTTACCCTGTATTTTATCCTATTTGAATTCTTATTGTTGAATAGATGCAAGCATGTGCTGTCCTTGTATTCCTCAGTGTGTCTGTCTTAGAAAGAGGTGCGGGAGAATCCTGCAGTGAGCTGCAGAACTGTCGGGGTCACCAAAGAATTCTGCTTTCCCTACTTGTCAGTTTAAGTTACTGTAAAGAGTATCAGCTCTTAAAATGCATGACTTTATGTGGCAAAATGTGTCAAAAATTGTTTAAAATAATACATTCCTAAGAACCACAGGGGGTGGGAGGAAACAGTAAAAAGATTACTGATATTTTCTTCCCCTGTATCCTGTATTTATAGCCAGTGCCACACATGTGAGATGCAGTCATTTCCTCCAAACAAGTTTTGCCAAAATTACTGCATTTACTACTGTTACCTGTATTAATTATCTCGATATGGGTAGAGTCCCTATCTCTAAATGCACCTGTGCTTTGACATGGAGAATTCTTGCTCTCATCTTAAGGTGAGGAAGATGTTGTTGAATGCCACTTCAGGACGCTACGGTGTAAAACTTTAAGAATACTCACAGCGGAAGTCAAATTCTTGGTGGAATCACATGCAAGTTTTAAAACAATCCTCATTTTTACCTTAAATGAAAAAGTACACATAAAATATTGCATATATAAAATATTTCCTAATTATGCTGATACATTTTCAAAGTTGCGTCAGTACACACTTTACTAGCATGCTCTGGATTACATGTAATTTTAAGGCAAATCCCTATGAGGCAGGAAATATTGGGTATATTATGTACCTAATCATGAGGAAAATAGCCCTAATTTGTATTCCAAGGAGTCCACTAGTTGAACCATTAACTACTTTTTTCTTCAAACATGCTAACTTAATTTTGCACCTTCAAAGTCACATTCTACATCCTAGACTGTATTCACTGATGATACCAAATTCAGCAAAAATATGTGTGTCAGTTTATGTAGCCAAAGCTATCTTTATTCATGCAAATTAAGTGGTGTACAGTGGCACAATCTATGGCCTCAAAGGATCTTTGGTATGTCACTGTGGGTTTTGTTCACAAACTGGTGCACTGCAATTTTGCAGGTGCGAATTTTGAAACCTCTTTCAAAAACATGGCACATCATTTCATTCCTGAAAAATGATTGGTATGCTAACCTAAGAATTTCATAGTGCGAATTATAATTCATTCTGGAAACTCATGAAGACCTAGATTTAAATAGATTGTCCCCATTTTCTCAATCTAAAAGCACTGAGGAAACTAAATATATTTGAAGGTATTTTTCTTTGTAAATTCAGGCCCATCCTATCTGTTGAAGCTAAGTAAACAGTTGGCAAGGAACTCCCTCTTGTGGTCAAACATTCTTAATTAGAAAAAGAGATTTTTGTACTCAACTGATGTTCTGGATTGTTAAAACATGGGTCACTTGTAACCATTAAGATTAACAATACTGATATAAATGCTTTTACTGGAGCAATTCATTGCAAATTAGGGCTTAATTCTGAAACATATGCTCTTAATTTTTCCTAAACCAGGGCTTTGCACTGCTGTTCGGGATAAACCCACTTTGAATTGCAATTTCTAAGGTTTCTTATTACTTTAAAGATATCATGCTCTCATTAACATTTATATGCACACACAAAACAGACACATAGGGTGTAAGACATTTATGAATTAAGTATTGTAAGAAGTGAAAAATCTCTTTATTTTGATCTCAGTACTTTATTTCTAATAGTGTCTAAAACTGTAGCACTGTTGAATATTTCTATAAGTAGTGAGATAAAGAGTTCCCATATGCTGTTAACCAGTGCTCTCCCAGAGTACATGCGGCAACAGAGTTTGCTGTCAGAGGTAATGCATGCCTGAAACCCAATCAAAAATGCCCTAAACACTTATTATGAATGAGACAAATTACTAGACACATAATGAAACTGACAAATTTTAAGTTTTTTTTCTGATTATTTGACTTAAGCAGTGCCTCCAACTACTTCCCAAGATTGGTAATAGACGCTATCTGCCCTAGTACTGAATATGCAATTCATTTCCATGATAGCAAATTAAAACCTGATGCCAAGAAGCCCAGGCTTTGTCCTGACAGCACATCAAAGCTTGTGAAAAAGGCTGTGCTCTCAGATCAGGTCACTGCTGCCAGTTCAAATACTAACCAATACAATCTGAAAACTTCTTTTGTGGATGACTTTCAATACGAGTAAAGGAAGGATACAAAGAGTCATTATTTAAGAAAAAAATAGAGAGAGGTGCTGATTTATAAGTTCCACAGTTTATGCAAGGAACGTCTACATATATAGAGAGCTATTGCTGTATGTGTGCTGGTTCCAACACACCTTTGCCTGCCTAAAGTTAAACACTCAATTAATCATCAGCCAGATGATGTACTTATGCTTTCTTTGCATAAACTAGATAAGAATACACAGAGAAGGACAAAATTGTTTGTCTTTAAGTTTTTGTTCCCATTTCCTAGCTGCTCTTATCATTAAGTTCTATTGGCTCTGGTGTATTCTGTCTTGTTTTTCTTCTTTTTAAATATACAAAACTGAGTATCACTATAGAAAAATCAGAAGTATCCACATTTTTATATTGAAAATGTAATAAGCATTTGTGTTTCCCAATATTTGAGTAAATTTGTAATCATTGTGGTAACCTTATTTCACAGACATTAACTCTTTTTCATGCTTGTTTTAACAATCTGACTTTCAAAAGCATACGCTTTATTACATGAATGAATTGTAATGTATTTACTCAAACCATCATAGCTGGAAATATTTAAAATATTTTCAAACTTTCTAATATTAACAGAAAAGGATATTCACTTAGTTTTATCTTTATACACATACTTATTTAATAATTAAAACTAGTCTCAAATTAGTGATTTATGCCAGATGAAAGGTGACATTTTGATTAATGTATTTTTACTTTTAGTTAAAAATGAAATATATTTTAGTGAGATTTTAAATTTGTTTCATGGATTCATTTTCAATTAAATCAGATATGGAATACACAAAGATTATTAAAATAATATTGTTTATGTAACATTTTTCCCCAAATAATAATAACTTTCTATCACTGGAAAAAAATTAATTAATCTTTGAGCACAAACTCAGTTTCTTTGCAAATGAAATAATGTTAATAATCAACAAATTTATAATCCAGGCTATGATCACCATCTATATTCTTTTATTCTATAATTTTACTCTACTCCATGATATTATGACATTATAATACTTTGGAAATTAGAAGAATATCTTCAAAATACTGAGTTCTTTGCACATTTTGAAGAAATTTAGAGTAAGTTAGCTTCTCTTAAAGGTAATTATTGTTTCGTAATATATTTTCCTGCAATATATTTTCTAGAAGAATAATTGACGTCATGAGGAAAAACATAGTAGGGTGATAAGAAATATTGATCTTTCTTAGCTGTCTTTATATCTATCTTTCTATTCCACTTGTTTAATCTAAGATTCCATTGACTGTAGAACGTACAATGCATTTTGGTACCATTAAGGAAAATAAAACCTCCACCAATGATAATTATATCATTGACTCTAAGATAAGATTCTCTTTTAGAGACGTTAAAAGTTTAGAATCAATGTCTCAGAATTAATGTACCATATATGTAGAAGTATAGGATATATAAAGAAATGTAAATAATTATCTAAAATTATAATTATATATACCAATAAGAATATATAAATATAGGGATAGACCATAGAACTCTGGCCATGGTTTTAATGATTCTTTTAAAAAATTAATTTTAATTAAATTTATTAAAATTCAATATGACCACATTTAACACCTTAACTTTTTTTTCTAGAGTATGTCTTATGAATGTATGCTTTGGCCATCTACAGGTTATAAAATATTATATAAAAAGTGTATGTAAGTAGAAAAAAACAGCACATTTCTCTACAGTCAATGCATCATCTCTGCAAATATTTTGAAAACCTTGGTAAGGTTCAAATAATGAATGAATATAAATACCTTTCACATACCATTCATAAACTTAGAGTCATAAAGAAAGTAGAAAATACATTTATATCTCTTTACTTTTATATGCATATAAGTATATCTGAATCTAAGTAATCTGGTTTTAGAGAATTACAAAGTGGCTCTTGATAAAACGGTGCAACTGATTTTACACAATATAAACTTTAAAGTTAATAAAATTTACTGAGTCTAAGATGGCTGGCCTCCATTTTCTCTTCTGTGCCTATGGCAGACACTGCTTACCATGTTTCTTTAACTCTAAGATGTCATCAATCATGAGACACACCATTATTTTATGTTCAATTTAAAAACAGAAAAATACTGTTGCCAACTAGACTGTGACATGCCACTGATTCCAAGACACACCCCAATTTCAGAGAGGGAAAATGATCTACTCTAGAATATATGGAACATTATTTTCAACCATGACACCTTTTTCTAGTAACTTTGAGTACAGCCTCAGAGAATTTTGCAATGCAACATTATCTATAGACAGACCAATAGAGATGAGAAATTGTGATATGGGAATCATTAAATATTGAGAATTCCCTGTGACAGCAAAGGAAATTTTGAAATAGTCTAGTAAGGGAAAAGGTAGAGGTCTCAGAATATTCAGTCCCTCTCTGATACTATAGTTTTAAAAGGTTCATTCCCTGAAGGAATTTCTCCAAAACACATTTTTCTACTTTTATTTATATATCCACAAGAGACTGGAATTTATACAGGAAGAAGGGAAAAAAAGAGGAAGAGGGAGAGAAAAAAAAACTTGCATTAGCAAAGTTTTGCGTTCATAGGTATTTCATGTATATTTTTTCTTTGACACTTCCAGATAATTAAACAGTTTTTATCTGCTCCATTTTTACAGATAGAAGACCTGAGGCTTTGGTAAGTAAATAATTTCTATAAATTAACACAGCCCTCAGAGGCAATTGTTGGAATTAATGCCCAAATCTGTCTGATTCCAAATCTTACGTCTTCTCCACTACCTCAAAACATTACTCTGGAATTTATTTGCAGGAAATTTTGTTTCACAAATCTGTTCAGCAAATGAAGACATACCTGTACACAATCAAAACCAGAATTTCCTGATGTGGTCTAGATATTAGATTTATAATTTATTTTATCTAGTATATTATGATTATTTGCCTACTGCTTGACAACCTCCAGAAATATTTGCTATTGACATCTGATTACCACTCCAACTCCTTCTTACTATTCTTTATATTATTCACGCTTACTCTTCTTTACCTTTGGCTGTAGGCTTCTGTGTCTTGCCATTCATTTCAATATGATAGGGCTAGTGTTTCTCAAATTCTTCTGTTAACTCCTTTGGTCTGACTCAAGTATCACACAAACTTACAAAGGTGGAAATGCTTCTGAATTCCTTGACTAGTCTATAATATAGTTTTCAGTAGAACAATGTATTTTATTTGCTGTGTCATCATATTTTTTAAAATAGAATATGAATTAGCCTAATGAATAAAACATTTCATTTTAAAATTACTGAAATTCCTCAAACATGGTCACTGCATGTCAAAGTAGAGATGATTTAGGGTAGAAGTAAAATAAGATCAGTTAGCCACAATATTTCTGCAGGAAATTCACTGTACCTTTTAGCAAACCAACTTACTTGTTCATTCTAAGGAGACATTTTGTTCTTTTTGGAACATGCTACTTCATTTTAAGGTGTTCTCTGTGAAAAAGTTGTTCCGTCTGGTGCCTGAAACTACTGCATAAACTTATTATGATTTTTTTTTGGGGGGTGGTCGCCATGAATCTCTTGGGTATATTACTCTGGTTTAAAGTGGCCCCTCAATTGTAAATGGTCAAATTACTACCTGGACCATTTATATAGTGGTATTTCTTCTTGAAGCAAGAATGAAATTGAGTGTTTTTGTGCCATACCAGGGACCGAACATGCTCCAGTAGATAAGCCACTGGTCTGAGGATGTAAAATCCTTCATACTTTCATTTTGATCATATGTTTTGCTATCTATAATGAGCCATAACAAGATTTTTAAATCTTGTTCATTTGAATTCAGACATTAAAAACACCAAAGGAAATAATTTTAGAATTTAGGTATTTTACTTAAACTGAAATCAAGCAAGTACTTAAACCACTACTTTGGTGAAAGATCTAGTACTGAATGTATCATATATTTTTCAAGGAGGAAGGGTGTCACAAGAACAACAACAAAAAGAAACATTGTTTATAACTGTAGTGTTACTGTATGATTCTAGACTGTCTGTGAATGATGGAACTGTGGTCTCTAAGTACTTGGCAAGATTTTAAAAACATTTTGTGGAAAGTCAACATAAGGCTATAGGTAAAATGTTCACATCCTTGACTCTGACTGAAATTATATGACCTATTTTTACACTATTTTTAAAGCACTCAAAAATGTTGTTGGTGGTTATTAAATGTTTAATTTTAAAAATAGAAAAATAGTTACAGCTATTGGTAGGCATTCTAGATTCATCAAAGAAAATAAAAGAGATAATTTATGCTAAAAATGTTTGCACATAGAAGTTCGTAATTCACCTTCTTTGATGTTAAGCTTAACAAAGAAGACACTTTTAAGAATAAAAAATCCCTTTATGAAACATTGAGTATCAATAATTCAAAATTTAAGGAACTACTTAGGTAATTGCCATTTTCTTTTTTTTTTTTTTTTTTTAATTTTTTATTGGATTATAGGTTTTGGGGTACATGAGCAGAGCATGCAAGACAGTTGCGTAGGTACACACATGGCAGTGTGCTTTGCTTTTCTTCTCCTCTTCACCCACATTTGGCATTTCTCCCCAGGCTATCCCTCCCCACCTCCCCCTCCCACTGGCCCTCCCCTTTTCCCCCCAATAGACCCCAGTGTTTAGTACTCCCCTCCCTGTGTCCATGTGTTCTCATTTTTCATCACCCACCTATGAGTGAGAATATGCGGTGTTTCATTTTCTGTTCTTGTGTCAGTTTGCTGAGGATGATGTTTTCCAGATTCATCCATGTCCCTACAAACGACACGAACTCATCATTTCTGATTGCTGCATAATATTCCATGGTGTATATGTGCCACATTTTTCCAATCCAGTCTATTATCAATGGGCATTTGGGTTGATTCCAGGTCTTTGCTATTGTAAACAGTGCAAGGCCTTAGAAATAGAAATTCCATTTGACCCAGCAATCCCATTACTGGGTATATATCCAAAAGACTATAAATCGTTCTACTATAAGGACACATGTACACGAAGGTAATTGCCATTTTAATGTGTAAATCTTAAAATTTTCTTAGCCACAAAATATAAAACATATGTTCTTCCCTGTTATCCTGTTTTATTTAATGAATGTAGTTTATTCCCCTTGAACATTTTATAGTGAATGGGTATAATATTAATTGGCAATCAATTCAAGTGAAACTCAGTATACTATTAGATGTGAGATGATTGAACAAGGTTCTCTGTTACTATTACTACTTGGGATAAAGAGATGGAGAGACAGCTTTCATAATAACATGAAAGTGCCAGGAGCAATTTTTAAGTCATTCTCATCTAGGACCCTAATAAGAAAGTGATTCTTCCCGTCTAAGAGAGTAAATTCTGATTCTCCTCATTGCTACAGCCTGAGAGTATGCAGTGTAACAGACAGAGAACATAGTGGCCAAGATCTGTGAGCCAAACCAAACCAATCCTGTGTTAATAAAAAGTAAATGGCTGGCTGTAATGGCTCACACCTAGAATCCCAGAACTTTGGGAGGTCGAGTCATCGGGATTTCACGACCTGCCTGGGCAACAAGGTGAAACCCCGTCTCTACTAAAAAAAAAAAAATTAGCCGGGGGTGGTGACGTGTACCCAGAAGGCGGAAATTGCAGTAAGCCCAGATAGCACCACTGCATTCCAGCCTGGGCAACAGAGCGAGACTTCGTCTCAAAAAAAAAAAAATATATATATATATATTTATAATATATTATATATATATATATTTATATTTATATATATATATAATATATATATTATATATATATATATTTATAAAATATATATATATATATATTTTTTTTTTAAGTACCCCATAAAATATATGCACTTTTTTAAAAAAGAGTAATTGGTCCCACAGTTTCTTTGGTAAGAAGGAGCCATATTCATATATTAGATTTTGAGTCTAACTCTTACAATGTTCTTATTCAAATGTAAGACAAATAGTGAAGTGAACATATATTTTTTCTTTCTAGAAAGTGGTTCTGTCCTTCCCAGTGAATTACTGGCAGCAACATAAGAACCGTACTTAAAGATCCCTTTCAGCAATTGTCATTTGCATGTTCCTGGGCTCATGCAACCCACCAGAGTTTTATTTTTAAAAATGGTTCCTAATTAGAAGTTAAAAATGTAATCAGCATTTCATTCAAAAAGTTGGTTTATTTTTATTTTATTTTTCTATTTTACTGATGAGCTATAATATAAGAGAGCCAGAGAAAGATCACTTGAATATAAATGTAATGATAACCACAATCATGTATTGTTTAGACCACAGAACTCAGAGACAGAATGCATAGGTTCAACTCTGTCATTCACCAGTGGCCAGTAATGTAATTTTAGATAAATTATTTAAGTCCTTGTATCAATATTCATATATGTAAAATGAAAATAATACTACAAGTGGACATAATACATGTTAACAACAGTGCAAATGTTTTGTTAGTAAAATCTTGTAGCTTTGAGCCTCAATGTTTTCATCAATAAAAAAGGAATTGAAACAAATCATCTTCATGTGGCAACTCCATTTCATATATTTATATTAATTTTTTAATAGTAAAAAGATTGCAAAAATAATTTTCCATGCCCTCTTCAAGATAGATGACACTAATGGGAAAAGATATAATTTTGACTTAGCATGATGCTAACGTCACAATGTTAACTTTAGTGTAATGGCCTTTCATATACATAAATATGGTATTTAGTAAGCCTCAGAGCATATGAACAACAAATCTGGGAATTGATCATTACCTTCTGTGTGACAAAATATGAAATATAGGGAAATGAGTGTAGCACATGGTAGAAGATAAAATATTTGAAGAATTATGGGAAAAGAAAGAAAAATCAAAAAAGAAAATATAATAGAGGAAAACTATGTAGCTGGTAAAGGTAAGAGTGAGTGGGGAAAAGCGTTTGTGAAATACTCTTCTGTAAATGTTCATCAAGATATCTACAACTGGTACAACTAGAAATCCCAATATACTTTAAATAGATATATAAATAAAAAGCAGAAAAAAAATAATACTTGTGCTTTCATTATATATAGAAGACCAAGGCAAGAAAAAAAAAAAAACAGATTATCTAGAGGTAAGACTATAAATTAAGCACGCAATGTAGTGAGTTATCTCTTGTATTTCACTGCCAGTCAATATGGAGAGCAAGAGTAGTCTGGGAATACCTGTGTGAAAAAAATAAAAAGCTAATGGCAGTTCTAAAATTAATCTAAAGTCACCACCAGAAAGAGAAAAGTCACCTTTCCTGTTAGATGAAAGTACTGTATATGAGAAAGGTATTTAAAAGTTCATGTAAGATGAGGAGCCAATTTTGGAAAGGTAGCATTTTGGAGAAAGAAGGTTAAAAGTAAGGAAGAAATGACTTCTGGAAACTGCATAATGAAGCAGCCAGAAAGAAATATAAAAGAAAGAAGAGTGAAATTTAAGATCTCCCTTACAAAGGAAAAAAACAAATTCAAGTATGCATTGCATCTCACCTATCACCTTGCTACAGAAAAAAAGAAGGAAAGAGAGAGGGAGGAAGAAAGAGAGAAAGGAAGAAAGGGGAGGAAGAAAGCAAGGAAGGAAGGAGGGAGGGAGGGAGGGAGGGAGGGAGGAAGGAAGGAAGGAAGGAAGGAAGGAAGGAAGGAAGGAAGGAAGGAAGGAAGGAACGGAAGGAAGGAACGGAAGGAAGGAACGGAAGGAAGGGGGACTTTAATAAGGGGGAAAAAATCCTCATGGTCCCCAGGCAAAAAAAAAAAAAAAAGATAAAAAAGTTCACATAAGCTACAGAATTCCAGTGGCATAAAACTTATTAGACATTGCTAAAACCACATTCAAAGCAAGAAATCATCGAAGCAGAAAACTGAAAATATCTCACAGAGAAAAAGTGGGAAACAAAGCTTTTCTATCCACTCAACAGCCAAGATATCCTTCATGTATTAATGTTATAAACAACTTTAATCATACATGAGCTCAGGGAATTTTGTACACATGAGCCTGTCTTGAGGGATCTATTAAAATGTGTGCATCCTCAAACTAAGTGGTGACTGGAAAAACTTTAGCAAATAAAGAGATGGTTAACATTTAATATTTTAATTGGAGTTCTAAGGCTAAATCACAAGTGTAGTGTTCATTTAAAATATTTGGGAAGCAAAAACCAAGATGAAACTACACACATGTCAGAGGGTTATTAGGGCTACACACCCCTGAAGGATAAAATGGAGACCTTTGGAGAAGACAGTGATACTATTCACACCACAATTCAGGTTTATGAATCACAAGATAAAGAAATGAGGATTGAGTTGACTCAGATTTCTGCATGGTTCTCAGAAAATTATGGCTAAGCCAACACGTTCTCAAACAAATATCCTTATTAAAAGATTCTCACATTCCTCAGATCGTAGGAGCCTGCAGAAAGCCTTGACACAATGTAAATTTGGGGTAAATTCAGTAGTTGGGACTATCGGTTAATAGTGCTTCCTACTATAGGAGGTCTGAGCTGTGCAATTGTATGGCTTCCACTGTCCATGCTTTTCAATATTGTTGTAGGACCTAGGACAATTGGCCCTACAAAGACGTCCCCATAACTTACAATTATGTTATATTATGTGATAAAGAGACTTCGTGGCGATAATTAATCAATCAGTTGCCTTAAAACAGAGAGATTCTCCTGTGCTATCCTCATTGTATTAACGTAATGACACAAGGCCTTAACAGGAGAAACCTTTCTTTAACTGGGGGCAGAAGATGAAGTCAGAGTGATTTGAAGAATGAAAAGGACTGATATACCATTGTCAGTTTGAAGATGGAAGAAGTTATGTGATGAGTAATGAAGGTGGCCTTATGTAGCTGGAAAGGGCTCCTGTCTAACCTAATGAAAAGCAAATAGTAAAATGGTAAGTTTCAAAGCAAATATATCAGTGATTATGTTAGCTTTAAATGAACTAAAAAATGATGAGTTCATGTTTTTTGTAGGGACATGGAAGAATCTGGAAACCATCATTCTCAGCAAACTGACACAAGAACAGAAAATCAAACACCACATGTTCTCACTCATAGGTGGGTGTTGAACAATGAAAACACATGGCCACAGGGAGGGGAGCAACACACACTGGGGTCTGTTGGCGGGGGCCAAGGAAGGGACAGCGGCGGGTGGGGAGGTCAGGGAGGGATAACATGGAGAGAAATGCCAGATGTAGGTGATGGGGGGATGGAGGCAGCAAACCACATTGCCATGTGTGTACCTATGCCACATCCTGCATGATCTGCACATGTACCCCAGAACCTAAAGTACAATAAAAAAAGAACTAAAATTTCATTTGAGCCACCTTCATATTAGGTTCCTCAGCCTTCCTTCACCCTGTAATATTTTCAGTCCACTATTTACCTTGTCTCAGTAAAACGTTTCTAATGCCAAACAGGAAAAAAAAAGACAAAATGAATAAAAATTGATAGAAAACAAATTTTAATAGATTAATTAAAAGAGGCAGTAAAAGAAAATGAATAGAAAAAGATATACAATGCAAACACAAAAGCAAGCTAGATTTTTGTGTTCATATTTGTGTAAGTAGCTTTTAAAGAAAGAAGCATAAAATGACCTTAAAAATGCATAATATACTTTAAAAATATAATTAAAGTGGTAACACGAACAATTTGTATGTGAGTAATACAATAATGAGAAAATAAAAAGAAAACATTTCAGAAGCAAAATGAAAAGTAGGCAAATCCACAATCATAAAAGAAAACATTAACACCCATTGCTGAGTAAATTATAAAACATGCAGACAAAAGTTTGAAATGTTGTATTAATAGAATAATACAAATATATTAAAAATTTGATGTGACATATGTAAAACATGGTAACTAACCGTTGTATATATACATTATTTATAAATACAAATAAAATATTTATTAAAATTGAATATTTTGGGGCAGAAAACAAATTTCAATAAAATTTACATAGAATGAGTTATTTAGAGCACATTCTCTGGATACATTGAAATTAACCTAAAACTATTCACAGTAATGTAATCATATATATGAAAATTTATGGAAATTTAGTCTGAAGAACATAGAGAGGACAAAATAAAAAACGAAACAAGCTAAAATACTTTATTAGTTTGCTAGGACTGCCACAGCTAAGTAGCACAAACATAGAGGGTTAGCCTGTAGAAAGGTATTGTCTCAGTTCTGGAGACTAGAAATCCAAGATCAAGCTCTCAGCAGGGCCACGCTCCTTCTAAAGGCACTTGGGAAGGAGATTTTTCCAAGCTTCTTAAGCTTCCGTTAGTTTCTTGGCTTCTGGTAGCATAATTCCAGTCTCTGCATGATGTTCTCCCTTGTTCTTGCCTCTGTGTCCAGCTTTTATAAGGACATTTGTCATATTGGATTGGGGGCCCACCTACTCAAGTATAATCTCATCTTAACACATTATGTTTGTCTGCTAAGGCCATATTTCCAAATAACTTTTTGGTATAGGTACTACGGGTTAGGATTGCATCATTTCTCTCCAGGGACACAATTAAATCTACAGTGGGCCTCTAATGGAAAAAGTGAACATACAATAATAGATGAATCATGCCAATCAAGGAGATGAAAACTCTAAACAGGAATCTAAAGGAAATACCAGAAATAAGTAACACTGTAACAGTAATAAAGACTCTTTGGTGGGCTCAGTAGTAGACTGGATATGAGAAAGCACAAGTGAATTTGTATATACATCAATAGAAACTTTCTAAATAAAAATGCAAACAAAAAAGGGAAAATAATTGAATATCCAAAAACTGCAGGACAATTACAAAAAATGTAACATACTCATAATGGGAATACAAAAAAGAAAACAAAGAGAAAAAAGAACAGAAAATGCTGGCAGTTATAATATCTAAGAATTTTCCAAATTTTGTAATAGATATCAAACCATATGTCCAAGAGGCTTAGAAAACAGGGAGCAAGATAAATACAAAAAACAAAACCAAATAAAATAAAATAAACAACCCTCACCCCACTCCAAAAAAAAAAAAAAAACTAAGAGAAAAATCTTGAAAGATGCTAGAGAAAAATAAAATACTTTACCTGTAGAAGAAACAGTAAAAGATTATCATTGGACTGCTCTATCAAAACAATGTAAGCAAGATGAGAGCATAATAACATATTTAAAACATTAAAAGAAGAAACACAGCCTGTAATCCCAGCACTTTGGGAGGCCAAGGCGGGTGGATCACGAGGTCAGGAGATCAAGACCATCCTGGTCAAAATGGTGAAACCCTGTCTCTACTAAAGATACAAAAAATTAGCTGGGCACGGTGGTGCATGCCTGTAATCCCAGCTACTCAGGAGGCTGAGGTGGGAGAATTGCCTGAACCCAGGAGGTGGAGGTTGCGGTGAGCCGAGATGGCACCATTGCACTCCAGCCTGGGTAACAAGAGCGAAACGCCGTCTCAAAAAAAAAAGAAGAAGAAGAAGAAAAACACCAGCTTACAGTGAAATATAATATTGAATGTATGTATGTATATA